AAGACTCATCGAGACGGTGGGACAATACAAAAAAAAAAACTTATAAAGAGAGCTAAAAGACACACGTATTAAATTCTTATTCTAGACATTTGCAGAAACACATAAACCGACTGCATAAAGCAGATATCGTGAGTTCCCAACACGTCTCTGATAGGAACATAGGGTTGTCTTTCTTGGGCCTCGAGGGTATTCAAAAGTCGCTCTCTGGCGGCGTCATTATCCGTACATTGCCAAACTGCGTGATCGATGTCATCGTAACCGTTTCCACACCGACAGATGTTGCTGTCCACGAGGTTTATTCTATGGAGATGAGCATCTAGCGAGTAGTGGTTGGACATAAGTCTACACATCACGGTGCCTTCATACGCACCCACCTTTGCGAGAGAGTCCGCCTTCTCATTGCCTGGGATTGAGCAATGTGAGGGGACCCATACAAAAGTAATCATATATGATCTTTCGACCAGCACACTCATCTGCTCCCTTACCTTTGAAAAGGAATAAGATAAGTGCCTACCTTGTTTCATCGACCGAATAGCCTCGATCGAACTGCGACTATCCGGGAAGATAAAGTAATGGTCTGGAACTGAATCTAAACTCTAGAAACTTTCTGGAAGTACAAGAACCTTCGTAGAAGTTCAGGAAACTTTGTTGAATTTCAGAGAACTTCGTTTCTTTAATTTATGGGTTACCAATACCCAAGCAACATTGCAAGTTTTATTGAGGTTTTATAGCATTCTACAAGTCAAAAGCATGGTCTACAGAACCCTTATAAAACCAGAATTGTTACTTGGGTAGGATATCAATAAACTCCTCTGGATATTTTTCAAGACTTCAGGTTGATCATGTATTATTCTGCAGATCTGCATTTGTTCAAACATTCAAATGTCGTCTGTCAGATTTTCTTCATGAATAATTTAAAAGATCTTCAACTTTTCAATACATTTCAAAAAAGTCATTCGGATATTTGATCAAAACTTAAGGTTGATCGCGTATTATTCTAAAGATTTTAATCTGGAAGTATAAAGTATAAAATGAATAAAATGATCTCCAGATGTTCGAAGATTTCAAATTTTTTGGAATTGGAAGTTTTTTTTTCTGAAAATCTTAAACTGATCAGAATACAAATGACGTTTTCGGATATTGTCTCATGAAGATTTGAGGTTGATCAGGAAATATTCAAAGACCTCCAGCTATTCGAAGATTTTAGTAAAATTCTTTGGATATTTGTTCAAGACTTCAGGTTGATTAAGTAATATTTTCGACTTTATGAAGCTTATTTACGACTTTCTTAAAGCTGTTGATTTATGTGTTTAGTGTTTTGTGTTTTAGTCATCCTTTACGTTTAAGTTTTAAATTAGTTCAAAATGCTTTCCCTTGTCCTCCCTCCAAATGGTAAATAAATGTAATCCCTAATCTCGAGTAAACCGCGAGTAATCGGCCCCCGTTCTACTAACATTAGTTGTAAGAAAATGATATTCACACACAATTATGTAAAAATATTCGGCTCCGCAAAGCTAACGCATTTGAGCCTTGACAAATAAATGGATTATAAAAAAAAAAAAAAAATAAAAAAAAAGTAATATTATGAAGATCTTCAACTATTCAAAAACTCAGATGGCATCGCTCAGATAGTCTCAGATAGACGACAGGTTAATCGAAAAGTATTCAAACGGTTTCAAACTGATCGAGGACTTCAATTAAGTCATGAATATAAGATATTTTGTTTTATTCTCTCAAAATATAATTGATCAGCAAGTATTCAAAAGATCTCCAGATATTCGAAGATTTCAGTTTAGTCCTGTGGATACGTTGATCAAGTTTTATTTTGTTATTAAACGAATGTTGGTTACATTATAATAATATTTCAAGAAGGAAAAACCAATCACAAGCAATATTTTAAAACATCTTCAAAATTTTCAAAATGTCTGCTGGAAAAAAATATCTTCACTGAAATTCAAATGTCTTCAGAATAAAGACAAATCTTTAAATCTAGCGTTGCCCCGTGTTTATTCGTGCAGGCTTCATCATACTTAGACAAATAATCAATTCCACTTGAACCCATCACAAGTCTGTCGTGCGGAGGAAAGTGAGAGTGACCATAAAAATGAACTAATGAAACATGGAGAAAAACTTTACAACTCAAACTCAAATGATGATGCAATAAAAAAAGAAGCGAGAACGATCTTAACAACATCAACAAAAAACGACCGCTTGAAACAGTTCGAGCAAATATGGTAACAAGTGGCTTTCCTCAGAGTTGCTTACTGAAGCTGACCGACCGACGATGAGTTTAAGGAAGCCAAACAATAGCTTGCCATCCAGATCACGTGACCGTTTTCCTCTTCTTGGCCGTTTTCATCGTTCTGATTCTGGGTCAAAGTGAAAGGATGGTCATTTGCCATGCAACTTATTGCTTTCATTGCAGCAACAGCAACAACAAAAAACTGCACTTGAGTAAACCCTTTCCGAACTGTATAGTAGCTGTAACAATATGCTTTTTTTTTTGTTTTGAGTTTTTTCAATTCGCTCACTTCACCATGCCACTAGTCCAAGCCGAAAATACAAACTGCTGATAGCAAAATTAAACTGCTGCTGCTCCTACTTCTACAGCGGATGGAGTAGCTTTAGTTCTATGCTAGTAAATAATTGGCTTGGTCGGTTTGTTTTGGTTTGGAAACGATTCGATAAGCAGCTTGCTTGGGAAACGGTCAACGGCCTTGTTGGTTGCGGCTTGCGGCGGCCTGGTCTCCACTGGCGGGGAGTGATATCGGTCAGAGCGAACAAAAAAAAACTGCTAGCCTCTGTTTACACACAGTGAATTAATACTGAAGAGTTTACAAGTCCTGTTTTTTTATTCGAAAAAAGCTTGCTGCTGGATATCAACTTAATTGCTGTCGATGTCGAATTCGGGTTTTACGCACGTTAGAACATTGAACAGAATTACACTAACGAACGGAGGATCATTAAATGAGATTTATCACCCACAAATATCCCATATAAAGCAGAACGTGACAAATTTATGGCATTTAGACGCCCTAAAAATACTTCAAACTCCCTCGGAATGGTTATTATTTTCCAAAATTCGTCAACATGCTCGGTCCCCTCCCTAGATCCGTAAAAGGAAACTATAAACAACTGCGATCGCCGTGGTTCCATGCCGAATCAAGCTCGAAAGTGCCTGGTATAAATTTTTAAATTGTTCTTAATCGTATCGACACCGGAAAATGCAAATTTTGCAAACAACTGTCCAGTGGTCTCCTACCGACGACGAATAAATTGTAGATTCATCATTTTTATCGCGATTCGCAGCTGGCGACCTGTGCCGTGAAGACTCCTGCTGCCGTAGTAGAAGATGCAATGTCGCAAATCAGCTGCCATTTGACTAGGAGTCTAAGACAAGTTTTTATCATTCTGTAAATACCCATACGTATCTTGCAAGAAGAAGACGGGAGGATGACTAACTGTCAACACACTGTTTGCGACTAGCTATTTCGTCATATCGCCAATCGTGAACGACCGTGACATACTATTATGGCTTCTCTGTAGCTCTGGTAGCTTCGTAAACTTTACCGTCCGCGACAAAACTTGGATGTAACGTAGAACCGGACATTTTGTTGTTGTTAACTTCCCGCAATCAAGCAGACATGTTTGCGATGCTGAAGCACCATTGACGTTGATTGCGAAAGAAGACTCAAGCAACGTGCAGAAGGACAAAGGTTGCGCTTTCTGTTGAGGTTCACGAACTTTTCACTTTTTCAGTGTGGCGTCTTCAAAAACCAGGTAGGGTTGTGGGGTCAATATTCGGCCCACTCTTACTGAGCTTGAAGATCTCGGGATTTTTTTTTAATTTTAAGCATGCGAAGATTTGGTTTAAGAAACGATAGTTTTTTACTCCTTCAAAAGTTTGATTTTGAATAATGTAACCAAAATTCGTTTTATTCTAGAATTTGGTAGTTCGATAAAAATAATTCAAGAGAACAAAAACCAGTGTGTAATTAATTTCCACAAGGTATCAAAACCACTTTATAGGAAGGGTCCAGGTGTGGGAGCTGCTTCCCTGGCGTCGCTAGCATTGGTGCTCAGCACAGAATTCCAAATTGATGGAAAAACAAATCAAGGAAAAAAAAAAAGTAGAAAGTTGCTCAACTGATGGATGTTTTCTTGATTTTACCAAATGGATTTGACAACTTGTGTTTATTCTTGACCCTTCACTCTGACCTGAGAGCCTTATAAGCTCATATAATTAGTTGCAGATTAAGGTTTGAGAGTTGTCTAAATGAATCAAAGCTGTGAAGAGCTACGAGCTAGTGTTTACTCAGTCAAATGATTTCGATTTTACTAATGAGATAATTTGGAATTCGAGTAGGAAGATATTTAACTGAAGGATGTTTTGATGATTTTAGCAATTTAATTAAAGACTTGTTAAAACTTGTGTTTGCTATTGAATCTTCACTCTGAACTGAGAGGCTTCTAAGCTCATATAATTAGTTGCAGAATGAGGTTTGATAATTGTCACCAATCGTTCAGGCGTATTGTGAGTGCCACGAAGTGAGGGTACGATTCCCGCTCCAGCCGGTGGAACTTTACGCAACCCGGAAATTTCCCTACTGGTCTACTGGGTGTTGTGTGTTGTCCATTGTCTAGTGTTAAGTATTCAGTCTGTACAACCTCTGGTTGAAGACGGTGTCAATTGTCTTTTGAATGTATGAGGAGTTGGGAGATTGTGTTAGCTCAGTTGAATGATTTCGATTTTGCTAGCAAGGTAATTTTGTAATGCGAGAAGGAAGTTGCTCAACAGAAGGATCTTTATATGATTTTGTCAAAAGGATTTGACGACTAGTGTTTGTTCTTGAATCTTCACTCTGAACTGAGAGCCTTGTAATCGCATATAACTAGTTGCTGAGTAAGGGTTGATAATTGTCAAAATGAATCAATTCTATGAGAAAACTTTAACAATTTTAAAAAGGTTTGAATATCACAACAGAAAAGTTGAGGCTCAGTAGAAAAATGTTGATGACTTATTCGAAAGAATACGAGAACTCACTTCAAAAAAGTTCAGACTCAGTTTTGAATCTGCTTTGAAAAGTGTCACCTCAATTAGGAATTTCCTGAATCGTGTCTGATTTGGTTCTCACTTCAATTTTGAAAAGATTTGATTTGGCTCAGTGCTGTGGTTGTGGGTAGTCATGGGTAGTCGACGACTACTTAGCTCCAAACCGGAAAAAGTTAAAGAATAGGTAAAATATTGCATTCCAATCCAATGATTAGCGTCACTGATATACATGTTCAGGTGGAAATTGAAAAAAAAAAGCTGTAAATTTTAAATGACAAGTTCAGGGAAAAATTATCAAATTGTAAAATTTTAAATGGCTTACGCCCCTGACACACACATATTCAGGGAAAAATTGAAAACAATTTTCAGTTTGAAATGGCTGCGCCCCTGTTATGCATGTTTGAAATTATTAAAATCGTTCAATTTAAAGTGTTCCTGGTAGACAAGATTACAGAAAAATGGCTTGCACTCCTGGTTAATATGATCAGAAAAAAATGAAGAAAACGATTTTAGATTCAAGCGCCCTGGGAGACATGCTCAGGGGAAAAAAAACTTGAAATAAATTGCACCCCTGGTAAACCTTTTCAGGTTAAAATTGATAAAAATCTTTAAACTTGAAGTGGCTAGCACCCCTGATATACACGTTCAGGGAAAATTGAAGTGTGTTGTAAATGGCTTTTAAGTCTCGACAAAATCAATATACTGTTATCTTATTTTTTTTTGTCCAACGTTTTTGTCCGTTTGGGACCTCCTTCAGGGACTCATCTTCAGGGACCCAATAATTACATTACAGATAATTACGGACCGAAACGTTGGACTAAAAATAAAATAGCAGTATTTCGATTTTGTCAAGACTGAAAAGTCATTAAAAACACACGTCAATTTCCAAAAGAACCGTACTTAACAAAGGAAAAATTAAAAACAAATATTTTTTAGTTTAAATTGCTACCGCTCCTACAAGACAAATTCATGGAAAAAATTGAAATATGTTAAATATGAAATGGTTAGTGCATTTGATAAACATATTCAGGGAAAAAAACGATCAAAATCGTAAAATTTTAAGTCTCTAGCGCCCATGACCCATGTTGAAAAAAAAAAAAAAATAAATAAATTTGAAATGGCTTGCACCTCTCATAAACATGTTTCGGAAACAATTAATCGAAAATGGGTTGGTTGAAAATACTATCTTACATGAAGCTTTAATGTGATAATTTATTAGCTAGAAAAATTTCTGAAGAGGGTAGGTTGATAGTTCCGCTAGAGTACGGCAGTATGAAAATTGAATAGAAGTTGAAAATGAGCGAAATTCCATTAATATGATAGTACTAGTCAAACGCACACTTCTTTACCTAACTCATATATGAATGGATGAGGAGACTTGAAGTATTTATTCAAGTCTACAGGCATCGGCCATACGCTAGCGGAACTTACAACCTACCCTTTTCAGACCTTTCTCTAGGTAATATATTATCACACTAAAGTTTCATGTTAGATAGCATTTCCACCCAACTCTGAAAATCGTAAACTTCATGTATGTAGTAACTTAAAAACACTTTGAATGTAATCAAAAGTGGTAAATTTAGCACAGGCCACGCCCCTGATCGGGGAAAAAATATGTTAAATAGTACCACTGTACTGTTAAAAAGTTCATCCAATTGAAGTTAAACTCTAACGGTGTAAATCCTTATTGGTGGACAAAAGTTGCCACTACTTAGTAAACATTCTTTATTTCCATTTCGTCAAGCCAGTGTAGACTACATACAATGATTATTACAATGTTTACTTACATACTATGCATTAATTTTATTCTGTTTTAGCTTAGCCTTTATTTGCTGCTTAGACATAGTGATGTCAATAGGTCCGCAATGCAAATTATATAGGCGCAACATTCGATTGATTGGGCTATTTTTTGCATAGTTTGTTCTGTACGATTTTTCTGAAAATAAATTCCGTGTTCTAAGATATCGACAAGATGTGTAAAAGTTTAATTGTGCGAGAATTTCTGCCGAATCTATGCGCATTGAAATAATGTCGTTGATGAAGAAAAGCATTGCAAATTGGCGGCGCTCCTTAAGTGTTTGTATATTGATGAGCATGCAGCGCGCTTCATAAGATGGTAATGGAAATGCAGTCCAATTCAATTTACGTAAAGCATATAGATTCTATGCGTTCTTCGTGTATGGAAATGTATGGATTCCACCCTGCGTAGTAAAGAGGATGGAAGCAGAGTTCATCAAGGATAGCATCAGACGGCTATATAGCAAACTGGACATGAAGGTTTTGGAATGTTATTATCTACATCTCAAATTGGCCAAGGAGTATCCAAATAAATTCCAGGAGTTTCTGTCTAGGGCCAAGGTAGCAGAGGAGTGCGAATCGGATAGGAAGCGGAAGCTGCAGGATAGGAAGCTAAACAGACTACGACAGGAGTCTCAACGGAGACGGACGACACACCGAACGGGTGAGCAGATCCCATCAACCATCACCACGACGCCGAGGGTTCACTCCATTGATGGGTTGGTTGTCAACCGATCGACGACCGCATTCACGGAAGAACAATTGACACACCTCAACAAGGGGCTAGGATACGCGGTTACAACCAAGCCAGACGTGGAGCAGATCATCATTGACGTAGAAACAGCGATTACCAAGACGCTTCCAACAACATCACAGAATACGGTTAGGACTATCACATCTAACATAATCAAGGACGGACAGGAACAAAGTCGCGCCAACGAAAAAGAAATTCTGATTGTAAAGGAGCTGAAAAGTAGAGCAGTATACTATGTGAAAGCAGACAAGGGCAACGCGGTCGTTATCATGGACAAGGACGATTACGATAATCAGATGACAACGAAGATTAACAACGGACCGAATAGGCAGCTTCGAGTAGACCCCTTACAGAACATAGTGAAACGCGTGGAGAAAGCACTGAAGGAGTGCAAATCGATATTAGGAGATGGAGCAGGTCGTTTACGGGAACCCAATTCCATTCTACCCAGGATCAAAGGTCTCCCCAAAGTCCACAAACCAGGAAATGAAATGCGAGAGATCGTGTCTGCAGTTGGTTCCCCCACCCACAAACTAGCGAAGTGGCTAGTCAAAGAGTTCCAGAGTATGCCGAATCAGTTCCAGAGTAAAGCAGTTAGTAACACCCAGGAGTTCGCCCAGCAACTACAATCTTCAGGAGACATCAACGAGGACGAGATTATGGTATCTTTCGACGTCACAGCTCTTTTTCCCAGCGTACCGTCCAAGGAAGCGATCAACCATTTGGAGGACTGGCTATTAACACAACGAGAGGATGCAGCATGGAGAAACAAGGTTCGGACGTACCTTAAGCTGACCCGCCTTTGTATGGAAGAGAACTACTTCTCTTTCCGAGGTAACTTCTTCAAGCAGACGAAAGGAGCCCCAATGGGAAACCCCCTATCCCCCTTCTTGTGTGAACTTTTCATGGCCAACTTGGAGACAACCCTGAAGGAGAAAGGACTATTACCAAACCGTTGGTGGAGGTTTGTTTACGATATCTTCAGCGTAGTTAAACAAATTTTAGATGAGATCAACAGAATTCACAAGGATATCAAATTCACTCACGAGGTAGAAAAAGACGGGAAACTCGCATTTCTCGATCTTCTAGTCATCAGGGAATCGTCATCATCTTCTTCGCTTGAATACGAAATTTACAGGAAACCAACAAGCACCAAAAGAGTTATCCCCTATACTTCCAACCATTCGTTCCAGCAGAAAATGGCCGCCTTTCACCACATGATCCATCGAATGCAGACTCTTCCACTCAACGATACAGGAAAGGTTAAGGAATTACAGTACATCTTCGAAACAGCAAGACTCAACGGATACAAGGAGACCACAATCCAGGCAATCATCGATAAAAAAGCGAGAATTCTACAAAGGAGATTATTTACAACCCTCACCGCAGCACCTGAACCATTGAAACGAGTGTCCGTTCCATTTAATCACGATATTACTTGTAAGCTAAGACCACAGTTAAAACAATTCGGATTACATTTAGTTTTCACCAGTAGACATAACCAGTTGAAATCATTGTTTGGATCCACTAAAGACCCAGTTAATATTTTAGGTAAAGCAGGTGTATATAAAATAAGCTGTAATCATTGTTACAAAGTATATGTAGGACAAACCAAGAGAACTTTAGCAACTAGATTTAAAGAACATATAGCGGAGGTTAATAAGGCCAAAAAGCAAGAGGAAAAAGGCCAAACATATGATTTCAAATCAAAGGTTGCAGAACACATCTTCCCAGAGGACCACCAACTATCGACGGAGGACATCACGATTTTACGAACCGTATCCACACCATGGAAATTGGATGTTGCAGAAAGCCTCGAGATCAACAAACAACGTAATTCAACTTTACTCAACAGGGATCAAGAAAACGGACACACATGGCTTTTCAAGTTACTACCTAGGACACATCAACGAGTAAGCAGCGGAGTACCTGTTCCTATAGAAAATTAAATTTAAGTTTACCTAGTTTCTAAGTGAAAATGTACCTGTGTTAATATATATTCGGTAAAAGCGATGTTTTTCTTCAGTCGAGTATTAGTACAAGACACTGAAGAAGTCTGCACATTGTAGACGAAATACGCGTATCTGTCAAGGATAAGCAAATAGAGTAGTGGAATTAAATGGAAAATACGAATCCTTCTCTCTCTCATAATGCTTTACTGAAGTCAGTGTATAGCGCTTCAACGTGCTTGCCACTGTCTAACGCTTTAATAATGAAAGAAACATATTCTAGAAGATTAGAGGTAGTTGAGCGACCTTTAAAAAAGCTGTGCTGTTTACTTGTAATTATATTTTTCACCTGCTAAAAAATATTGCCGTTTACGATTGATTCAAAAAGTTTTGGAATGCAAGAAATAATAGCAATTCCACGATAATTTCGAATGTCTGATTTTGCACCTGATTTGAA